GATGCAGCCACAGCCATTGCTCGATCATTAAATACTTAGCAATCGGACACAGACACGGCGTACCTTTACCCCTTCGTCGATCCGTAAACACTTAGCGATCGGATGCAACCACTGTCTACTTTTTTCTCTTTTTCCCTCTCCCCATACACTTTTTTAAACATCCCCTTGCTCACATTAAAAACAAATTAACTTCCTTTGATAAGTTATTCCTATGATATGTTATACTTTAGAATGGCTATACTGATTTTTTTTTTAAATTGAAGTTTTGTTCAATTTAATCGTTTTAATTATGAAAGACATTGGCACAAAATTAAAACAACTTGTCTGCACACTATCGAGAAATGAAGGGTAACAAACAGTTATCAATGATAACAATTGTTTTTTAATAAAATGAAACGTCAAATATGTTTATTACCTCAAGGCCTTAGGAGTTTAGGGTGTGAATAAATTTGAAAACTTATTAAAGTTTTCAAACAAACAAGCAAACAAACTTTCATTTCTTATCATACATTGTATTTATTTATCAAGCCAGCAATAAAGCGGTATTTGAAACGACCAATAGGCGTCGATTGTCTCATATAATTTTTGCTCATAATAAATTCCAAGTAAATATGCGTTTTGCCGATACCGTGAAAAACTGTATTAAAATGTTAGATCGTTAGGGAATTATTTACCTTGTTTCTTGTTTTTAGTCAAAAAGGAGAGACGCTTTTCTTGTTCTTCTTCTTTATAAATATTTTATCATGATTGGTCGAATTGAATAAATTGAATCGCTCAGTGTTTTCTTCACAACTTCAAATGGGCGATCTTCGAGAACGACTTAGCCGTGTTTAACAGTGTTCTTTAGCAGTGTTCTATCTCCATGCATTTCCAACATTTTTATACCCACCACTGTAAGAAGGGGGGTATAGTCATTTTATTTTTTTCCATAACCTCTATAACAACCAAAAGGAAGCCTCAGAGACCCTATGCAGTATATATATATATATATATATATATATATATGCTAGATTAGCATGAAAGTGTCGATTGATTAACCCATGCCCATGTCCGTCTGTTTGGTATGTGCTATTGCCGCTCTCCTGATCGCAAAAATGAAGATATCGACTTCAAATTTGGTAGAAACATTCAAAGCTTATGCACGCACCTTGGTATAGAAAAAGGGACCAAATTGGTCGGAGCAAAAGCGCGCAATGGTGCGTAAATTGAACGCAACTCTTTTTTTTTAACAAAGTTATTTCGATTTTTTGCTCGTTATTCGGAATTTATTAAAGTTAGAGAAAATGGAACCAATCGGCCGTGTTCACGCAAATGTTATACATAATTAAATTTAATTCTTTTAATTTTTTTGACATTTTAGGTTTATTTATCATATGGCAAACAAGCAGGAGTTTTTAAAACTATTTTGTGCACTCCTCAAATAAGAATATATTATCTGCTTAAAATTGGGTTAATTCTAATATATAGAATATGATAGACCCGGCGATCAATTCTTTCTTACCAACGCCAGCGATATGGGTATCAAATGAAAGGGCATGGAAAGTAGAAAGCGAGATTCGGCCTTCGCTGAATATAACTTTCTTACTTGTTTAGTTTTTTTTTTTTTTTTGTTTTGCTTGCACAAGATTTTTAACTTTCTTCCTTAAAGGAAAGCAGATCGAAAATGTTGCTACCGACTATCCTTGCCCAAACAAGTCTTACCATATCATCTGTCAAAATATAAAATGACAATCCGGCTTAAATAATGGATGATATAAAAGATGTCCGCGATATTTTGCGACTAGAT